TTTTTTTTTATTTTTTTTTTTCTTTTTTCTTTTTGATTTAATTATTTTAGTTTTATTTGAGAAAATGTAAATTCCCTGGTCAAAATAGGTCAATTTTTTAATTTTGGGTGTCAAATAACAAATTTGTCCTCCATGTGCAATCGATTAAAAGGTTTAGGACCCCTGCTGTAAAAATGAAAGGTTTGGGTATAATCTGCAGAGTTTTGAAAGGTTTGGGACCCCAACTGCCATTCTCCCCCCCTTTTTACTGTCTTGAAAACAAAATGTGGATGGTCTGTTTTTCTCCCACACGAGCACATGTTTTCTATCTTCAAAAAATAGCACCACATTAGCTGAAGAAATATTTATCATTTTCCTTTTCGATTTTCGTCATTTCCTCTCCTCTTCTACACAATCACCTCATTTTCCTTATGTTGTACTGATACTTCTACTAGGACAGTGTGTCCGTGTCCAATAAGTATAGTTTCTTGCCGGATAGCGACAATCCTCTGACACTTCATGATATGGGTCAAATAATCAACACGCCTTGCCTATTTTTCATATATTCTTTAAATTTCTAACAACCGAGAGATACTATAGAGACATTTCTTGGGTAAGTGTTCAATATGGCATGTATTGTGTCTTGTATTAAAAAGTATAAAAACAAAGATATATATATAAATTCAAAAAGAATTTAAATGGACATGTTCCTAACATGTCTGCATCCTACTTTTCCGGAAAATCACATGTCAACGAGTCGTGTTGCATGTCCGTGATTGTGCAACATAGCCTGTAAGTGTACAGTCACCCATGCCCAAAAGACCAACATTTCTGGACATTCTAATGTAGTGGTACACCAAAATTGCCTTCAAAATAGCATTGGGAATGATCTATTTTTGTTTAGATGCTCAAAATAATATTCTTTTCCTATTTTTTGGTGTTGCCTGTGCATTTGTACTAGCCTGCCTTAATCTAGTTAAATCTTGACTTCACCGACGGCATCGGCATAGTTGTTATCATTGTCGTCACCAATGAAAAATGATATATATTGATGCATACCCCATGCCTTTATTATATTGATGTTTATTTGTTATGTGGTTAGAGGAATTTTTTCCTTTAATCCTTGTATTCTTTACATCCATTTCCACCTCCACATGACCTAGGTGGAGTTTCTACTTGTTTGTTTGGTATTTGAAACTTCTATGAATCAGTCTTGTGCTTGAAAACTCGGTCTTTTATTACTTCTTATAGGTATTCATTAATTGATTCTTCAACTTCTCCATTCAGGAACTTCAGAATTTCAAATGGAGCTGAGTAGCATCAAAGATGCATTTGATCATGTTACAAAGAAGCAGAAATCATCATCCTCAAAATTTCAAGAAATAATTGAACAAATTGGGCAAGAAATAGAGCAAACATTATCTAGAATACAATCGGGTCATGCATTTGCAACTGATCATAAGTTGATCCTTGGTGAAGTAAAGGCCAAGTTGAAAGAAATTGCTCCACTCAGCCGGATGGAAGGCACACAAAAGGAACTGAACAGTGCTTTAAGCAAGTATCCAAAAATCCTTGAGAAATCCTTCAACCCTGATATATCAAAGGCTTATCGTAATGTCGATTTTGATATTCATACTGTCGATCAAATCGTTGCCAGTCATTTCTATCGGGAGGGTCAGTTTGATATTGGTGATTTTTTCATACACGAGTCTGGGAAACCAGAAGCCGCAGCCGATAAATCTCCTTTCTTGGAAATGTATCAAATAGTTGAAGCCATGAAATCACATAACCTGGAGCCTGCTCTGAAGTGGGCTGCCACCAACAAGGAACAACTTATACGAAGTGGATCTGACATTGAACTGAAGTTTCATCGCCTTCAGTTTGTGGAGATCTTGCAGAGCAACGGCAGAGATGAAGCTCTGAAATATGCTAGAAAATTTTTATCTCCTTATGCTTCCAGTCATATGGCTGAAATTCAAAAGCTTATGGCTTGTCTTTTATGGGCTGGGAGACTCGATTCCTCTCCATATTCCGAATTATTATACCCCGTGCACTGGGACAAATTATCTGAGGAGTTCACCCGGCAGTTCTGCAACCTTATTGGGCAATCCTATGAGAGTCCGTTGAGTGTGACAATTGCAGCTGGAGTTCAGGGGTTGCCAACCCTTCTAAAACTGATGAATGTGATGAGTGCTAAAAAGCATGAATGGCAATCCATGAAACAATTACCCGTGCCCGTGGATTTGGACAGAGAATTCCAGTTCCATTCGATGTTTGTTTGTCCTGTGAGCCGGGACATGGCAAGCGAAGAGAATCCCCCTATGCTGATGCCATGCGGTCATGTACTGTGTAAGCAATCTATTACAAAGCTGTCCAAAAATAATAGCACTCGGCCTTTCAAGTGTCCTTACTGTCCCTCTGAGGTCGAGGTAGGTCAGTGCAGGCAGCTGCATTTCTGATCTTTGTTAAAAGATTTACTATGCCTTCACCACTGTACTGTTGTGAAATTTACTGTGGAATTTAGGGACACGTTATCATCTCGAGTAGATTTGGTCTGTGTATAACGTTTAATGAACTGTAAATAGACATTCTTTGCATACTTATGGAAGTATCGTGGGCATGTATGCTTTCATTTGAACCAGTAAAACTGCAAACTTGAGCCATCATAATAATGTCGGGAAAAAGTGTGCTCCAGAATTTAATAAAATGATACATATGACTTTTACCCTTTCCTTTTGTTAGGGTAGCAAATATATCTGTAGAATTGACACAGACATTAAACGAATATGATGTGAAAAGTGGCATCAAATGGTTCTCACCAGTCACAACCACTGACTACTATTGTGAACTGGTGCTCATATGATCAAGTGTTCTTCAAAATTTTAGAGGTTTCCATATGCCATGTTCGTCGGTTACGATATTCCCGAAAAGTTGAAACCTACCATGGTTAAATTAGCCTAGGATAAATTTCCTTTGGGGCAATAAGTCCTTTGCAAAAAACACGCTAGATAAATAAAAAGGCGAGCAACTCATCATTTATGATGAAAAAGTAATAAAGCTGCGCAATTTCAGGATGCAAAAAGGTCAAGAAAATTGTCACTAGCCAATATAAGGTACATGAAAGTGCCCTTTGTAGTTTTAAATTGTTTCAGATTCTTCTTCTACTTCTCATCCTCCTTTTCATCCTTTCCACGCAGACTTTTCACATTAAAAAGTTTCTCATTCTTTTCCTTAATTTTTACAAACGTGTAGCTAAAGTCATGCCAACATCCAATTATTACAACATTAAAAGTTTGGTCCCATTTTTCTTGCGGTTTTAACCCCCAAAAAAAAAAAATAAGAAGAAAAAAACTGTGTGACCATCTTAATTTATAATGCGTGGTCCACAACTCTATAGTCTATACAATGTGGACAATCTAAATTTTAGGATAGAAACTGCTGGGAAATCCAAGTCGTTAATGAACTTTCAATTTCCCCAACTAATTGAAAATGACTTTTCCTTTGGGAAATTTAAAACTCTGATTCGACTACTTTTAAGTCGGAACCGGTTTACTTCAAATTTAGTTCAAACCGAGTTTTAGTCTCAAAACTATGTTGCCATAATTTTAATTGGCTCCAATAAATTCTTCTTGTTTTCAAACTGGCCATGAGATTGTGGCACGATCCTTTAATCAAATCATTTAGGGGTAATCTATATGTTTAACCAGTGGAGGAGCTAGGATATATGGTTTGGGAGCTTAACAACAGTCGATGATCGACAGTGTAACGATAGCTACAGAGTTAGGAGAGTGGAATTTAAATAGCTCATGCATATGAAGTGAAGAAAATGTAACGTTAATGTTAAAGAAATTACGTAGAAAGGATATGCAAATTGAGTTTGGAATCCGGTCCCTCCCAGAACTCCTCTTGGCTCAGTCCTTGTGTTTAACGACAAAGTGAACAAGACCAATAGAGAAATGTATGTGAGCTAGCCTTATAGCTACCGAGTTTGTTAGACAACCTACATAAAAAATGACCAAATCGCATGTTATTCACCATTTTTTGCATTGCAAAAACCCAATAAAGTAGAATAAAAAAAACGTCGAGACAATATGACATAAAACTTTCCACTATAGAACTTGAATGGGAAGAGCTCTAAATAATTTTCGATGTTCAACATAGTCTATGTAACTAAACCTGCACCAATGGATGGATCATGAATAACAAGACAAGATAAATTCTGAAAATTAGTAAAATCCTATATAGAGCAATAACAAAATCAGACAAGTAAATATGTAATGAAAGGCAAGGGCCAGGTACAAAGACCCCTACCCTACTCTACCCTACCCTCTTTTCAAATAGAATGTACACATTTCTTGTCTTTACAAAAATGTAGGGCCAATTTCACCTGATCTATTTTTCAATTCATACAAAGACTATAATCCACAATTCAATAGTTACAAATAATTTTGAATTCAACTAGGAAAATTATTTTTTAGAATTAGGTGTCAAGTTCTATCACATATTTTGCAATTATGAGAAATCAAATCTTATCTTTTTGCAATGAGAATCCAATGAGTTCTCTAATTATCTAATCTCACTTTTAACCAGTTGTAAATATTAAAGCCAACCAGTCTATGACTAAGTTCACTAAACCATTGTTTTCCTATAATTATTACCGAAGTATAGAAATTAGACATTTTTTTTCAAGAAAGATAAAAATCTAAAGCCCTCACTGCGACAACCGATCACTATTGTGAGCTTCCATATTTCTCTTTCAATAATGAATAATGCTATTTATAATGAAAATTCTCGATAATCGTCCTATGTGGTATACACGTAAGACGATTATCAGTAGTGTTTATTATGAATAGCATTAGTCATCGAGAATCCCTTCCTTGTTTCAATGCGGAAAGCGCCATCTCATTCAAATGGACCCCACCTCCTCGCTGATTTAAATTTTTTTCTTTTTTAATATATGATATTTATACATAAAATTATTTCCATTTTTCTGTATACGGAACAGGAAAAAATATATAATATTAAAATCTAGCATTTTCAAAGCCATGTAAATCGCTGACTCTATTCAAAGACTTCCTCATCATGGCTACTTTAGCCAGTCTCTCAGCTGCCCTCCAAGCCGATGTTGGCGTAAGCGGCTCGGCTTTGTCCTCGACGCAAGCGGCTTGCCTTTCATTCGTATTCCTCCTCCCATTTTGCACATGCTGTTGCAGATTCTGCCTCTTCCAATTCAAATCCGCCAGCTCCGCTTCCAACCCGCGTACAAACTCCTCACCGGAACCAGAACCTGATTGCAGCATCAAAGCCCTAGCTGAAGCTAACATATGGTGTGCGCCGGTTAAGTCACTTCTCTCTACAAGTCTCCGGCTTTCAGCGATTGCGCGTGTGGTGACAAAGAGGCATTTCAACCGTTGGATTTCGCGAGTGGAGGATCCGACGGCGCGTGGGCGGGGAATCATGAGCGCTTGTTCTTTGTCGTATATGGGCTCTTGAGTTGACGGGTCTTTGTAATAGCATCGAACGGACAGTAGGTGGTGGGCCCTACTATATGATGATGGGACATTCAATTCTATCAATAATTCTCTATCTTCTTTAGAATATAAATCGCCGATCCGGGTTCCGCTTGACCCGGATCCGAGGTAAGCGGGGCGAGCTGTATGTGAGTAGATCGCCGTTATGTTCGCTGGAGCTGAACCGGAAATGAATCCCAACTGGATTTTAAGATCTTGAATGACCACGCTTAATAAACTCCCAATGCATTTGGCAACAGTATCATCCGTTGGCGCATTCAAACACGCGCTCAGGCTGACCGAATGAATCGGAATTTCAGCGGGAGAGAAGCGCGTAGATGACACTAATGGGCCACTACTATGGCCGTCGGAGAAAAGCATGATGCTGGCTGATGGGTTTTTCTCACGGCGGTCTTCGATAACTTTGGCCGCTTTTTTCAATGCATCCGTTGGAGTCGCAGCTGCTCCATCAAGTGCAACGACGGCGTCAATAATCCTTCTGGCCGATCTTCTGCCACCGGTGGTCATTCTACGAAGCGGCAGCAACCGCTTCGAGGTAGTAGAAAATGCCACAATCGACAACCGGTCCGCCGGGGAGAGAGATGAGACCACCAATCTCATAGTTCTTTTCATCATAAGCAGTTTTTCTGTGGTCACACTACTGCTGACATTGAGGACTGTCACCAAATCAATCGGAGCTCTCTTCACATTCTTTGTAGAGGCCGACGGAGCTTTGATCTTCAAAACCAAAGCGTAGGTCTCGCTGCTCCTACCCACCGACACCACCGCGGTCTCCGGCAACAACGCTACCTCAACATTCTTCAGCTTCAATTCCGGACTGTTAGGATTATAAGTATTCCCATTTACAAAAAACCCCGGAAATTCCTCATTTTCCTCCTCCGTTTCATCGGTTTCGGGTATTGGATTGAATCTGGCTCCAGAAGTGGGCGACGCTAGTGGCTCGTCATCATTGTAAACTTTGAAGACGCCTCTTTTATCGCTCTTGGAGATTGCATCTCTAGCGATTTCTCTCTTGTGGTCTAGGTGTTTATCAGTTTGGGGAGTGGATAAAAGATGCAGCTCCTTCCATTTGGAGCTGCAGACAGGGCACGTGAGGGAGGCTTGCTTCTTGACATGCACCGCGATGCACGGGAAGTGGAAGCTGTGGGAGCACTCCGCCGTAAAAATAGCCGTGCCTTGTCCTGTCTTGACGTTCTGTAAGCATATTCCACACCTATTCTGCAGAAACAATTGAAAAAAAAAAATAGACCAATTCATTATTAGTAAATGATGAAAAAACTGATAAAGTCAAATGCTAATAAGTGAATTCTACTGTTTGAAATTACCTTTGAGATACGGAGGGTGGATTTGAGTAGAGAAATGGTGGATGGGGATCGAGGGGAAGATGGCGTAGAGCGGTGGAAGAATCTGGGGCTGTTTTTGGTTTTACATTGAAGTTTTGGGCTTTGTGGAGCGGAGGCGGTGGTTCTACATCTGAGACTGGGGCTAGAAACAGGTTGAGATTGGAGGCGCGGCGTTGAAGGATTGGTGTCCGATTTGTCTTTGACGATTGGTGAATCTCTTTCTTGATCTCTTGGAATTGAAGTACAAAACGCTCTTCGCCATCCTAATACCATTGTATCACAATCTCTCTTTGCTTTTTTTGCTGTAAGATTTGAGTTTTTTTTTCTTTTACGATGAAAGAAAGAGGATGGATGAAGGTGGAAATACAGGACAGAACAAAACAAAACAAAACCCTCTTTTACCTATCAGCGCAGTTTCTCTTTATAACTCCCATCTCTCCAAAAACGTCTCTTTTTCTGAATTGAATTGAATGAATCTTATTTATCTCGAGGGATGACCGGCAAGTGGAGGTTTTCTTAACTTGGTAGGGTAAGTCAACGGACTGGTGCAAAACTGCAAATGAGATCATCTCCACTTTCGCCTTAAGCTTCGCTACTTTTCACCTTTTTGTCCTCTCTTCTCCAATCAAAATTGCATACTTTTTTTATTTATAAAGTGATATAGTATTTTCCCTTTCAATTCACTAATGTAATTGAAAAAATTGCAAGGCTAGTCTAGCCGATACAATATTGTCATTTAAGTTCGTGCAAATTACTTTTAGACGTTCCTCCTCTCACTCAGTCGATATATGAAAATAGTCGATCTCCTCACTTTTCGTATATCGATCTTTTGTACTATTGTAATCGAGTAGTATCCTATATACAAATCGAATTTTTTAAAAAATAATAATAATAAAGAAGCGTCATCTTAAAGGACCTTAACTCGTCATGATTTAACATGGGTTCCTTTAATTTTAGACGAATTATGGAAGTTCAATATTCTCTATCAAATTATTGCTCCAGTAGCAATAATGTGTGGATGACCAATATAATTATTTCAACGCCTCTACAATAATGTCAATAATCAATTTTGACTAATTGGATTTCTACTTGTAATTCATAATAAATATTAGAGTCTGCAACGTGTTAGGTGTATTATCAAAGAATAATTCTTGATACACAGGAATCAGTTTCACAGGGGTTTTACAGGCCCCTCACTGTAGCGCGGGCCCCACCCAAATGTATTTTAAAAAAATATCTTCTCATTATCAAATTACAAGTGAATTAAAATTAAATTATTTAATCTTGTATTTACTCGTCGTAAATATTAAGAACCGAATTGTACATAATTAACTCTTTATACAAATGTTATAAAAAATTGAAGAAAATTCAAAACATTGACTAGCATGAATTGATGCATGGGACAGAGCAGGACAGGGCAGAGAGGTCTTCTGTTCCACTGATATGACAATTAACACTAACAGACTCTGCCCACTCCTGCACTATGACTTTCACGTGTACCTCGGTCTTCTTTCACCTAACGCCGTTACGTTCTCCGTTTAATTCATTACCTAGGCAATTGCAAAACCCCTTCTCCCTAGGTTAAAAAAGAAAAACTTTCTGAATGTAATTAGTGCCAAATAATTTACTTAACTTTAATTAATTAGTCGGGGACATGAATGATAAAAGGCACCGGTTTATCCTCTCCCGGTTTAATTATGTTCTCTCCCTTTGAAATTCAGAGCTGTTTAATGGTTATTTTTTCTAAAATTATTTTATAATAATAATAATATTTTTTTTATGGGCTATTGTTATTACGGGTAATAATTAAGAGGAGCGAATACATGTGGCACGTGATTCCGAGGGGCAATTGGCACAAGATCAGAGGGTCATAAATGCAAGCTACAACAAATTCCGAGGTTAATATTAAACAAAATTTAATTTAATTTAGTTATTTAGTTCTGGCAAGTTGTTTTGCCGACCATAACAAATGTTATCAACACGAAAACTTTATACTTTCTCCGTGTGTCACGAAGATAGATGATTGCAGTTAAGGTACCAAAATTTTCATTTAATTGCAAATTTTGTTCAAATACCAAACCTTTTAAAAAATCGTAATGCCCAGATTGCCATTGCCTATTTGGGGAAAATTATTAAAAAAAAAAAATTATATTTTGAGGTCAACTAAAGATTTTGATTGTCAAATAGACGGAAATCGTTAATATGGACTGGAATTGCGAGTTTTTTTAAAAATTTGG